TGGCAGACTTGTTGGTATGAAGAACAGCACATATATTCGTGAGGATGCTCCATGCTCACAGGCTTGTATCTGAATCATACCCCAACCTTCCCCTTTCGTATGGTGTCAAACCCTACAAATCCATAAAATCTAAACCTTGAATCCTTAAACCCTCAGTATCCTTCTACACCCTAAACCTTATGCCCTAAACCCTAAACCTGATCACTCCACACCACTACACACCCTTGTGTTCACAGATGGCCGAGTTATTACCCCAGTTTACGGTAGAAGCTCCTGGAGTCCCTGGCCAGGACCGGCTCGTTGTCAGACCCGAAACCACCCACCAGGGCAGGACATACACTAAGCCCACCTTACAAGCCTTCCTGCACCTGAGGAAGTTCAATGACCTGTGTGTGTCCATTCAGACAGAGGGTGGGCCGGATGGTACCATGCCGGTGGTGAGTTTCAGCCCACGGTTCATGTCCCTGTTCAGGGGGGTGGTGGACGGTTTTTTGGACTGGATCAAGGTTGAGGTGGATATCTGGGTTCAGCAGGCGATTGTCAATGATAAGTATGTGTGGGGATGGGGTTTAGGTAGGGTTATCCGCCCAGTGAATCCCAGCAGGGTTTTAGGTTTAGGATATTCAAGTTTTGGATTATCCTCAGCGGTGCGAACGAGCAAATGTAACCCCCCCCCGGGGGCAAACTTTAAACCCTAAAACCTAAACCCTAGATCGAACTCTAAAACTCCTAAATCAATTCTTGTCAACCCTATGTTCTATCTACAAGGCCAAAGTATGATTCCGCTTAGCTCCACCACTTTCTGATCAAACGATTCAAAAACCCTATAACATCCAATTTCCTACGCGTCGTTCAATCTCCTCACTCGCCGAAGTGTTCTCCTCAGTGGATTTCGCTTATATACCACCAATGCTACTACCACTATATTGCAGTACCTATCTATGTACCGAACAGTACAATGCTACTGCATCCAACCACTACAGCCAGCAGTAGAGTCCAAACGCACTCACTCACTCACGTCAGCCCATACCCACCCCAATACCATCCTCTATCCCTCCCCCCAAACGCACTCACTCACTCACTCACTCTCTCTCAGCCCATACCCACCACAATACCATCTACCCCCCCCACCACACACACAGTTTCAACCCCACAAGCGAAGACGAACTACACAGCACATCCTGCACCGACGTCTTCTGGTCACTGTCGGAGGTACTAACCTTTCTGCAGGGCATCCAAATGGGAGACAAGGCCCACTGGTCACAGAGTATGGAGACGTATGTGATGGTGTTGTGTGCGTCTGTGCGGCACTACATCAGTGAGATCAGCAAGATAGCGCGGCATGAGAGTCTGCGGTTGGAGGAGAAGGCCGGGGCGTACATGCCCAGTGACGTGGCGTGTACCTTGATCAATGACTTTGTGATGAGTGCGCGATATCTGCAGGTGTGTTGTTTGGTTACTGTGTGTGTTGTAGTGTGTTGTTTGGTTGCTGTGTGGGTTATAGTGTGTTGTTTGGTTGCTGTGTGTGTTAGTGTGTTGTATGGTTACTGTGTGTGTTATAGTGTGTTGTTTGGTTGCTGTGTATGTTGTAGTGTGTTGTTTGGTTGCTGTGTGGGTTATAGTGTGTTGTTTGGTTACTGTGTGTGTTATAGTGTGTTGTTATGTTACTGTGTTTGTTATAGTGTGTTGTTTGGTTACTGTGTGCGTTACGGTTTGTTGTTTGGTTACCGAGTGTGTTATAAAGCGTTTATGTATTGGTTTATGTAGAGGTTGGGACGAAATTTTGAGGTTGGTACATATAGCAAATGCCTGTAGGGTGAGATAGTTTGTACATAACATTACAAACATTGTAGGGAGGTGATAAGGTATTGGAAAATTGCAAAACGTTAAACATGAGAACTTCAACCCTGCCACATATATCTACAGCTATGTACTTGAAACATATATCTAAAGCTATGTGCTTGATGTGTGTAAGACAACGTGTGTATTTATTATTTATTACTTTGTCTTTAGGCTGTGGTGTATTTCTACTTTCGCATTTATTAGACGACCAGGCCAACATAAGTAAACAAAAAGGGAATCGTAAAACACGAGAATTTCAATCCTGCTACGTATATCTACAGCAATGTACTTGCTGAGTACAAGACAACGTGCGTGTTCATTGCCTTGTGCATAGGATATGGTGTGGTGTATAATGCACTTGCTGAGTACAAGACAACGTGCGTGTCCATTGCCTTGTGCATAGGATATGGTGTGGTGTATACTGGTTTGGGCTAGGGGTTTATGGTGTTAGGGTTTAGGGTTTATACAAAAAATCGATGGTATTCTGCATCTGTAGTATTTGATCGTGGCCCATGCCCCGATCTAGGGTAATAAAACCCTAACCCTAAAACATACCATTCCAGATTATTTCAGGAAACCTGAATATCAGAACATCGGCCCTAAATGAAATATTGGATGATGCCCCACTTGACCCGGACGAAGTGAACTCGGGGCCGGACAATTTTAAAAGTACCGGAAATTCAAAAGCCAATAGCTTTGGTCTGCCCGGTAGGTGTACTGTTACCATGGCGACAGACTACGATGTTTTGTAGGTCACAGGGTAGATAAGCCTATAACTATGATGTGGTTGATGGTGTGCTGTTGTCGTGACAGATCTCTAAATGAGGTGGTGCTAGAATGGAAACTAAGGTGTTTTGTAAGCCAAAGTGTTAAGTCGAGGGTGAGATAGTTAAGAATTGGAATATCAAAATACATACTCGCTCCAAATAGTATGATCTGATATATGTGGTCGTGAAGTTTCAAAAATATAACGTTCTAAATCCAAAAATCTCATACCCTAAACCTCTCGAACCTAAAGCAAACACTGGTGTACTAACAAAGATTTACTTTTGTACCCAAATCACAATACAGGTGACCAGACACGCCCAAGTGCACTAGACCGCCAGACGAGTACTATCAGCACCACCTCAGCCGCACAGAGCCTTATGCACCGAGAGATGAATCAGGTATCTTCTTGTTTTATTATGATGTCTTGTATTTGAATTATTTTAGTGTATTTTATTATATTATAGTGTATTATACTATATTATAGTGTATTTTTATTACATCATATTATATTATATTACATTATATTATATTGTATTATATTATATTATATTGTTTATACTATATTATATTATATTATATTGTATTATATTGTATTGTATTATATTATATTATATTATGTTATGTTATATTATATTATAATATATTATGTTATGATATTTTATATTTTATAATATTTATATTATATTATATTATATTTTATTATATTTCATTATATATTATATTATATTATATTATAATATATAATATTAAATTATATTATATTACATTATATTATATTAATTTTATTATTATATATTATATTATATTATAATATCTTAAATTATACTATATCATATTATATTATGTAATATTATGTTATACTATATTATATTATATTATATTATATTCCATTATATATTATATTATATTTATTGTATTATTTTATATTATATTACATTATATTATATTATATTATATTATATTAATTTTATTATATTATATTTTAATATATTATATTATATTATATTTTATCATTTTATATTATATTAAATTATATTATATCATATTATATTATATTATATAATATTATGTTATACTATATTATATTATATTATATTATATTCCATTATATATTATATTATATTTATTATATTTACTATATTATACTATATTATATATTACATTATATTATATTAAATTTCATTATACTGTTATATGTGTGCGGTTGTGTTATATACAGAGAATTCATTGTATTTCTTAGTTCTTAACAATGGTCACGTTCGTTCTAGTGAAAGGGAAAGGGTAACTTTTAAGACCGGATCCTTTGTATGAGTCTGAACTGTTGTCCTTGTCTCGAATTAAGCTGCTTTCCGAGTCTAATAGAAGTCTTCATTTAAGTTTTTCTTTTCTTGAAACCCATCGCATTGATTATCAACCGAAAGTGTACACTTCTTTTGGCTGAGGGATGTTGAATACGTGTTGGTACGTATATACAAAATACATATACATATATGTATATATATATATGTATATATATATATATATATATATATAATATATATATATATATATATATATATATATATATATATATATATATATATATATATATATATATATATATATATA